CCATGCAAATCTCTTCCTCCAATTCTCCATTTAAGAAAGTTGTTTTAACATCCATTTGATAGATTTCAAGACCATACACGGCCGCCAGTGCCACTAACACCCTAATAAATGTTATCCTCGTTAATGGCGAGTAAGTGTCAAAGTAATCTAGGCCTTCCTTTTGTCTATAACCTTTGACAACAAGTCTTGCTTTATATTTGTCAATAGTGCCATCAGCTTTCATTTTCCGTTTAAAGATCCATTTCGAACCTAAAGGCTTATTTTATGGAGGAAGATCAACCAATTCCCATGTATGGTTATCCAAAATTGATTGAATCTCACTATTGACTTCCTCTTTCCAAAATATTGAATCAGAAGATGACATAACTGCTTTGAAAGTTTGAGGCTCATTTTCAAGCAAGAATGTCACAAAATCTGGTCCAAAGGAAGTAGATTTTCTTTGACTTTTGCTACGCCTTGGATCTTCTTCACTTGGAGTATTTTCCTTTGGTTCTTCCCGTGGTCGTTTAGGTCTTTCACTTAACGACTCGCATTCAGTTTTATATGGATAAATGCTTTAAAAGAATTTAGCATTATTCGATTCAATTACCGTATTAACATGAATTTCGGGATTATCAGATTTATGAACCAAAAACCGACATGCTTTACTGTTTGTAGCATATCCAATGAAAACACAATCCACAGTTTTTGGTCCAATTTTTACCCTTTTGGGTAAAGGTACTTGTACCTTTGCTAGACACGCCCACACTTTGAAATATTTCAAATTGGGTTTTCTTCCTTTCCATTTTTCATATGGAATAAATTGCGTTTTGTTGTGGGGTATTCTGTTGAGTATTCGGTTAGCTGTAAGGATAGATTTCCCCCACAAACTCTGCGGTAATCCGGAACTTATTAATAAAGAATTCATCATTTTCTTTAATGTCCGGTTTTTCCTTTTCGCAATTCCATTGGATTGAGGTGTGTAGGGGGCAGTAGTTTGATGGATAATTTCATATTCCAAACATATTTCTGCAAACGGAGATTCATATTCTCCACCCCTATCACTTCTAATCATTTTGATCTTTTTATTCAATTGATTCTTCACTTTATTCTTGTATTGCTTAAATGCTTCATCCTTAATATTAAACAAATAAACATAACAATATCGAGTACAATCGTCAATAAAAGTTATAAAATATTTTTTCCCACCTCGAGATGGTGCCGACTTCATATCACAAATGTCAGTATGAATTAAGTCTAAAGGATTTGAATTCCTTTCAACAGACTTATAAGGATGTTTTACAAACTTAGATTCAACACATATTTGAAATTTTGATTTATTATACTCGAATTTAGGCAATACTTCTAAATTAATTAACTTCTGTAAGGTTTTGTAATTGACATGTACTAAACAAATATGCCATAAATTATTTGACTCCAATAAATAAGAAGAAGCTGATATTTTATTAATATTGTCAACAACCATTACATTAAGTTTGAAAAGGCCCTCTGTGAGGTAGCCCTTTCCAACATACATTTCATTCTTGCTTACAACAACTTTGTCTGATACAAATACACATTTAAATCCATTCTTAACAAGTAAAGAAGTTGAAACTAAATTCTTCCTAATAGTAGGAACATGAAGAACGTTATTGAGCATTAACACCTTGCATGAAGTCATCTTCAGGAATATCTTCACATAACCCTCAATATTAGTTGTTGTAGTATTTCCTATGGAAAGCTCTTCTTTGGGACCAGCAGTAGAGTAAGTCACAAATGCTTCTTTGACAGCACAAACATGTCGAGTGGCTCCAGAGTCAATCCACTACTCCTTCAGATTTAAATGTGCATTTCTTCTTGTTCAGCTCCTTAGTCTTCTCCACTATGTTGGCCTGTCCCTTTATCTTATCCTTTTTCAAGAGACGACAATCAGAGGCTTTGTGACCAGCTTTTTCACAATTGTAGCAGTTGTCCTTGAATTTCTTCTTGTTCTGCTCCTTAGTCTATCCAGAAGACCTCTTCCCCTTCTTACTTTTTGGAGAAGTTTCTTCAATGATATTAGCTCCCATAATCGTTAAATTTTCACGAGACTTCTTCTTGGTTGTTTTGTTGTCTTCCTCAATCTTGAGACGAATCACAAGATCTTCCAACTTTATTTCTTTGCGCTTGTGATTAAGATAGTTATTGAAATCTCTCCATGAAGGAGGAAAATTTTCAATCATTACAGTCACTTGAAATGCTTCATTTACTACCATACATTCAGCAATAAGGTCGTGAAAAATAAGTTGAAACTCTTGAACTTGAGTTCCAACAGTTTTACTATCTATCATTTTATAGTCTAGAAACTTGACAACCACAAATTTTTTCAAGCATGCATCTTCAGTCTTATACTTCTTCTCAAGTGCGTCCCATAATTCTTTAGAAGTTTTCATAGCACCGTAGACATTGTACAAGTCATCCTCCAAAGCACTTAGGATGTAGCCTTTGCAAAGAACGTCTGCATGTTTTCATGCCTCAACAATCATAAACTTCTTATAGTCCGGCATGTCGGCGACAGGCACTGGAGGGTCTTCACTGGTGAACTTCTGCATACCAAGCGTGGTAAGCCAGAAAATACCCTTTGCTGCCATCCTTTGAAGTTGGCTCGAGAAAATTTCCCCGGTTTCTCGGCCGGTGGCACAACAATTCGGCTTGACGAGCCTATTATCGTTGCCGCAATAGCCCCAGAAGGATTTCCATTATCAATTGTCATTTCTCACTGTCGACAGCAGAAGAGTTCAATTAATGGCAAAAAATAGAACAGTAAACAATACTGTAATTAATGATAAAAGTACGTTTAATAAATATAGTACATGTAATTAATGATATACTGTTTCACAGAAAACAATAAACTTTTTATGATCTTCAAATCGTTTCTGAATTTTAATACTCCAATGAAGTTTTTATATCTTCAAATCAGAATAGAAAAATTCAGAAGGAGTAGAAAACCACACAGGTTTTAATCTCCAAAAACAGAATATAGATTACAATATAAAAAATAATTTTCTTAAGATTGTTATTCTATATGTATTACTATAATAAATAATGAAACAATAATCTTTCTGAAACAGAAAACAAAAACAGAAAGTTAGCGACAACAGATCGAAATAATATTTGAAAATGATTTCGGAATAAATCGAGCCCACTGAATGCACAGTGTGGCCTTAAGAAAATTATTCCCCACAAGTACCCGAGGTGCTGGAATATTATCCTCCCATGATAGAATGATTTAACTCACTAGTGTATTAGTACCAAAAACGCCGGGAAACAGCGAACGACTCGAAGGCTGTAAACCATACTGGAATTTTAATTGTGCAGATGAAGGAGAAAAAACTCAAAAAATTTTGTAAGGAAAGATTCTGGGATCAAGGCATATTTATAGCCATTTTCTGGCACTGTTTCTGAAAAGGTTTGCAACATTTCAGAAACAGCCATGGCTATTGGAACAGGTGGGAACATTTCCCGTTTGAAATATTCCGGAAAAGATGCGTCGCGGGTCCTGAATATTCCGGGTTGAATTTTTATTAATTAATTAAATAATTGAAAGAAATTTTGTCCAAAAAGATTAATCAATCAATCGTTGACCGAAGTCAAAGTCGAGTCGAGCGAGCAACGACGACGACGGCGCGAGGCTTAATTTCTTTCCAACCCATTTAATACCAAGAGAAGTGCTTTCTCAATATAAGTACATTCACTTTTCTTTCTACCGCCAATGAGAGATACTTGCTCTTTCCAAAGCAAAAGGGAGCTCACTTTCCCTCCACTTTCTTTCCTCCATTTCCCGTTCACCAATCTTTCAATCCCAACATGTTCAACTATCTCTTTAACTTAGCTATGTCAGGATTTTAACCATGCAAGTTTCGGTAATAACATTGTCACTGCTAAGAATGTGTAGAGTTGAGTAGTTTCTTGGTCCTCCACTGGTACTTATAAATTCAAAAATACGAGAAGAGGAACACCATTTGTTGTTCAAACCGCAACAACAATTGCTACTAAAAGATATCAATCTTGGAAGAGATGCAACATTAAGAGTTGTTCGACGCAGTAGTGACTCAATTATTATTTGTTCGTCGAAATAAGAAGTTAAAATTTTGATAGATACGAATCCCGTAAAAACTTATTTCGAGGAACGGGTCAGACTAAGTCATTTTTCAAGAACAATAACTAAAGAATCTTATACTACCACTTGCATGTGATGGAACCTGTATGTTGATGTTCAGGATTTTGATAACCATACAAGTAATATACAAGTAATTTGGAGGAGATCTCTCAAAAAATATTTAGTGCACATTTCGATTTCAACGAAATAATAGGGGTATGCAAATCTGTATTTGAATTGTTAAGGGAAGAAAAGGAACTACTATATTTAAACGGAGAGTGTAGTAGAAAATTTATGGTGTAGTCAATACTAGCATCCTAATTTGAAGAAGGATACTCTCTCCATTTTAAATTAGATGACACATTTCGCTTATCAAATATTAAATTGTGTCAAAATATATATTTTTATCATATTGACATGAGAAAACTTGTAATTTATAATATTTTTCATATAACTTTTGAATATTTAAATTTTAGTTTTAAAATATTGAGTTGAACTAATCCAATTTAATTTTAAAAATAAATCAAATTAACTCTCGATAAGCTTGAACTATGTCATCTAAATTGAAAAAGACTGAGTAAAGAGCATAATCAAATTGTTTACTTTTAGGTTTTAGTGTAACGTACAAATAAGTTTTGACTAATCCCATTAGTTATAATTCTGAACCCCCCTCTCCCCCTCCCTTTACCACCACTCAACCTAACCCTACTTCACCTAGAACATGGAAACCACGCGTATAGAGAAAAAAATTTAATTTACAGTTATTACAGTTTCACGCGTTTGTGTGGGATCAAGATTTAAAATAAAAAATAAAAGTTAAAGCAAAAGCATCAAACAAACGCGTATACTTCCCTTTCAATACTTTCTTATTTCATTTCAAGAAAACTATATTCCAATACTTAACTTTGAAACTCTTTTTCATCTTTCATTTTCTGTTTCATTGAATCCCAAGAAGAAGAAGAGCAAAAAAATGTTGACACTAAGCATTCTTTTCTTAGCACTTCTCTTCATTCTTGGTTTAATTACCACCCTTTTCAATTTCCCTACAAAAAAATTCCAATCTTGGATCTATTCTCTTTCAATTAAAGCTCAAACTCCAACTCCATCTCCTCTTGTCAAGAACTCAACTTTAAGTTCACCACCTATGGCTGAACAAAAAATCATGAGAAGGAGTACTTCAAACAGCCATAACAAGGTTGAGTTAAGGAGTATATTTGCAACTTTTGACAAGAACAATGATGGCTATATAACAAAGCAAGAGCTAAAGCAATCACTCAAGAATATTGGTATTTATATGGAGGATATAGATATAGTTGAAATGGTTGAAAAAGTTGATTCAAATAAAGATGGTTTAATTGATCTTGATGAGTTTTATGAGCTTTGTCATTCATTCTTGGGAATAGAAGGAATAATTGGGAGTCAAGAAAATAGTGGAGAAATGAATCAAGAAGAGGAGGCAAATAGAGAGAGGGATCTTAAAGATGCATTTGATGTATTTGATTATGATAAAGATGGATTAATATCAGAGGAAGAGTTGAGTAAAGTACTTTCATCTTTGGGATTGAATCAAGGGAAGAAATTGGAAGATTGTAAGGAAATGATAAGGAAAATTGATGTAGATGGTGATGGTATGGTAAATTTTGATGAATTCAAGAAGATGATGAAAGTTGGTGGAAGGCTTATTCCAATTTCTTGAAAAGCCATGCAAATTACTACAAATCTTTATTGTTCCATTTTTATTAGCATACTATTACAGTCACGAGCAGAATCTTAGCTTGAGCCTGTTTCAAGAAAACCAATTGAAAGAAAGCCTTATGTTACAAGATGAATCTTTACTAGTACTAGTTTTTATGATTTAGATTTGTACAGATAGGAACAAGAATTTGCATGAATGATTGTATAGTTTAGTTTAGTTTACTTTCTTAGTTTCTATGAGAAATTGGATCTGAGGTCTAGTTAAGTCAACTAAGATTTTTTTTTTTTTTTCTCTTTTTAATTAGTTGGATTAGAGAAAATTAAAGCACATGAAGAGGTAGGGGAAGGAGCAAGAATGACAACCTTTGGCTCTGTATTCAAAGTATTTGATCTTAATTTGTTGTTTCAGAGCAGACAAGCTCTTGGTTGTACTGACACTATATGTTTGTTTATTACATTGACTTGTTTTCTTATGTTCTTGTTAATTGGTGGAGTACAAGTTTCAGGTAAGATCTTTATTAGAAAACTCATATTCTAGATCTTGATACCTGCAACTTTCATATGCAAGAGCCAATAATTTGGTATGGCTCCTAATTTTGTTGTAAATTTTTGGCAATATCTTGATGTCAAATAGGTTGAACAAAATGACTTCTAGAAGAAAATTTATCTCTACTAGAGCTAACGGGTCAATTAAGGAAGAATCGGCCAATCAACTCTAAACTGAGCTTCTAGCCTTATGGTTAAGAAAAATGCAAAAACTCTACTTTTTTAGCTTCAATTTTGAGATGATTTTAGCTATCGGTGACCACCAATGTTTTAATTCCAAATGTTGAAAAGTGAGGAGTGATTGCCTTTATTCCTTGGTGTAGGGGCGGATCCGGGGCATTAGTCACACATTGTTCTCATGAATCCAGTAACTTTTGTCTATATCATATATTTATATTTAAAATCATTAAAAGTATAAGAATACTATAGCTTGGAATTCAATTCGTTAATCCAGTTATTATTGTATATTAACTTGAGATTTCTTTAGGAACCCATAACCTTAAAATTCTGGATCCCTGTTATAATGTATCATACATCACCTGAGACTTTAAAATAGACTTTGAAACAGTCCCTTGGTATACCAATGAGGTAATTGGGTGACATAGCATATTAAGAGTAGTCCACGCCTAAACCAAGTCTAGTCACAAGTTCATGATTTGCAACCGAAAAACATTGACATTATCTGATTGTGATATTTCAAAGTCTTTATAAAAATGTCTTTACAAGTCATCTGAATTTACAATGGAAATGAAATGTACTTGCCGTGTCATAAAGGGGCAAAAGCTTCTTCAATCTTCTGGAGAAACCAATTACTTTGACTAATGATTTTTGTGCAGTTCTATATTCTTATACACTGTCCGCTTAGAGGTTATTAGCAAAGATAAGATGATGATCGGTAATTGCTTTAGTATATGTGAGCTAATAACCTAGAAAAGAAAGTACTCCTACAATTTGTTAAACGACAATCTAGAGGTTGTTCCAAAATTTGTTCAACATTTATGGGTCTTTGCACTAAACTCAATGTTCTTTTAAAATCAAGGGTTCAAATCTAACATTTTGTCAATAACGTCTCGGATACTTGTTACTATTTTCACTGACCAATAATCAACTTGGTCACAAGGTAAAGAACAATCCAACACTATTTTAAAAGGCGTGGGCGTAAGCCCTATAGGTATTTAATTTTTAATATTTTATAAAATAATATAATGACAGTTAATATTTATAAATAGGTAAAATTGCATAAAAATTGAAGAAAATTATATATATGTGTGCTCCATCCCCACAAAAAACTAATCAAACAATCTATTATACATTACTGACAAGCACAAGTAATTTGAATCTAAAAGAATAAAGTTTTCTATATGGAGGAACAAAAAGGATGATTAACCTGCAATTTGAACTTTGGATTTGCTGCTATAAAAAAAAATGTAGTTCTCTTTGTATTTGTAAAAAAAATTAAATATTCGTTGCTTTTAGGAGATATTAGTTGACTAGCGGACAAGATAAAAAATTGGAAAAACCATGAATTAGAGCTTAAATCAATAAAAAAGGTCTTTACTTTTAAATACTTTTGAGTTCCTTTTTAAACCTTTTGAGTAATTATCCAACTCACTTTTAAAAATTTGGGTATTACATGAAGGACTAATTCAACAAATTTTGTTTTAATTTGAAAAAGTCTCTAGGGCTTACTCCTTACTAAAAAAATGCGCCCCGAACGCCCCGAATTGCGGAGTGTACGCCTCTTGAGACTTTCGCCCCACACCATCGCCCCGGGGCGTTTTTGGTACACCTCGCCCTGGGGCTCGCCCCAGAAACGCCTTTTAAAACAGAGACGCCAAGATACAACGAGAACCACACCTGTAACTCAAGTCAATTTGCGAGGTTTTTTAAATCCGCCGATAAGACACACGAAATACATGCAGGATCATTATTAGGACCATCATACTTGCCAACCATCTGATCAGATTAATCGACCAAAATATAATAGAAGCATTGTCGGTGTTCAAAAATTTATTTTAAACTTCGTAATAGGGGTGTATATGGATAGGGTTGGTTCAGATTTTCTAATTACCAAACCAAACCAATTGTATCAAGTTATTAAATCTAAATACCAAACCAAACCAATAAAAGTCGGGTTTTTTTCGGTTTTCTTTTTCTTTCATAAAGTTTTCATAGTACAAAACGTAAAATTTTGTGCTCCAAATATTTCTTTAATCCTAGTAAGACAGAACTATATAAGGTGTTTTTCAATAAAATAACATAAATATGAGTTGAGTCATGTCATTGTAGTAAAATATTCAACAATAAAGATAAAATCGCATAAAATAAATATTATGAATAAGCCATAATGAAAACAAACATAATTTAAAATTATGACTAATAAATACTATTATTTACATGACTAACCACTAAAAGAAAAATAAGTTATACATTTTATTTAAACCATGAAAAACTAAAAAAATAGATACTGACACTATTTTCATTCATAGTACAATTGAATTGAATGTCTTTTATTAGCATTAGTATTGATTTGATTTAGTTTAGAATTTATTTGAGTTACTAACATTTATGGACTATAAAACTTATTGGAGCATCCAAAAATTATAAGCCCAAACTTGAAAAAATACGTTAAAAGATAAAACTATGAAAAAGCTAAAGAATATTTATAAACTACACTAACATAAATATTTTTATGTATTAAATATATTTAAAACTTCTATACATATAATATCGGATTAGTTTGATTTCAATTTAACTTTTTTTAGTTAAAACTAAACCAAACCAAATATGGTCAAATTTTTTTTTCCAACACCAAACTATAGTCGGGTTTTTTCTCGGTTTTAACTAGAATTATCGGATTAGTGCAATTTGTAGATTTATTTGTACACCCCTACTTCGTAATATTGAGCTCACACATATTTTACCTATTAAAAGTTTTGAGTTCGAACAAACCCGTTGCCAAGAGCCACATCCCCCACCACTACAATGATAATGTAAAAAATCATTGCAGCTAGTTGTATTTGAAGCCTTTTTGCCCGGAGTTTCAGCTTTCAACCACTAATTTAGAGGATTTGAATGGGGAAAAAAGTTAAAGAGTTCGAGCCAATGTGGATCTCAAATTGCGGAAAACACCACGATAAAGAGATCCAAACCACCTGCTTGCCAGCAAGCTACTCTAATTAATTGGGTCCACATTTCAACTAATTAAGACAAAGAAATAAAGCACAAATTTTGAAAGGACACGGTGTACTGATCTCCTTCCTACTTTTATCAAATTGGTGTGCTGATCTTAAATTCTTAATCCTTTACATTAAATAAGGTACAACGTCAAATCAAAGAAATTATGTTATCAATGTAATTTACACAGGTGTTCAGCAGAGCATATAACTGGGACCCAAAAAAACAGGAATATTAAGGGAAGGGGGGAGGGGTGATCATTTCAATTAACCATTAAACAGCTTTAATAAGCACCTATAGAAAAGAGCGAGTATCGAATTGAACTTAATCCTAAAAGCATGCCAATTGTGTTTCAAATAGTTTATTATCATTAACAAAAGACCAGAATAGTATAAACTTCTAGTCTAACTAGAAGTACCAACAGAAAAGCAAGTAAAACCATGTCTATAACTTACTTGATACTACAGCTACCCTTAGGCTTATAACAGCACCAGGTGGCTTCAACCAAGCAAACACAGATTCTGGCTTAGTATCATCCCCCAGAATCATGCGCTGCCTCTAGTGATGGTAGGACATGACCATTGCTATCCTATCCATTTTAAGGACATAATACACATTAAAAGACGTCCGGATGGAAACGCCCGGGGATAGAGTTGCTTTGTTGCGCCTGCTTGAGATGCATCGATAGCGCATAGTTATTAACCTGATCACACAGAAAGGGCAATTCACTTAATGTCATATATGAGAAATGAGGTGGGATAGAAAATTAAAAATAGAGTCAGGAACCCAATAAAGCAACTCACCATTGCTGGCAATAATCTCTTAATAGCATTAATGTACCAACCGAACTCTTAATCACATAAATGTATCAACATACTTCCAGCTTCCAGGGGGGGAACTGAAGACTTTCATACTTCCAACATTTATAATGCATGCATCTATGCACATACAGAAGTACAACTATTTCTTAAAAAAGGAAGTTTCTATGTTTGGAAGCCAGGNGAAGTTTCTATGTTGGGAAGCAGCAGGAATGTGCATTCTACCCCTTTCTATAGAGGAAAGCATGCTTGACAACCAGATTTTAGTCCTCATTTCTCTTTTCAAAATTTTATCTTTGCTCCCGGATTGCACAAAGCACGTATAATAAATATGAAACCATGAAATGAGTTACGAAACTTCATGAGATCTAAATAGGGTAATCTGACCTCAAGTGTTCTCAGCTGCTCCTGGTACTGAGCCACCAACTGCTTCAGCTGATTCACCTCATGCCCTCTATCCTCAAACTCCTTCTGACGCTCACGTTGAATAGCAAATGCTCGCTTCAAAATAGAATTCTCTTGAATAAGAGCTTCTACCTGCTGCTTGAGCATGTTGTTTTCCTGAATAATTAAATAACTATGAATATATAGATAATTTTTCTTGAGGAAGCATAACTATATATGTATAGATATGGACTGACATTTTTTCTTCTTTCCCTTTTTTTGGGAAATGGCAAGTATTATTGATGTCAAAAGCCAGCACTAAGAAAGTGGAAATAACATTTTTCCTTTTAGGTGCACAACATTTTAAAAGAAGTGGCATACCAAAATAAGATCATTAGCCTGGAATAGGAATACTTAGTGCATCTCCAGCCCCAACCCTCACAAACACTGATATGTGGTGCTTGGTTGTTGGGGTGATCGGAGAGGGGTGAGTGCCTATAAGGAAAGAACATTACTGATCTATACTAATAGGCTAATAGCCAGACCAT